AAGGCGGAGTTGTGAAATTATATTGGAGGGAAGAGGCGGAGCCGCCAGGGAAGCGGTAGTAGTAGGTGGTGCTGGGAGAAAGCGGGCCGATGATGGCGTGGTGAATATCGCCGGATTTGTACAACAGGTATCTGTAGTTTGTGGTGTTGGCATCGGCAGAGAGGGTGTAATTTCCCGGAGATGTGCCGTATTCTACCGTCGCCGCCGTGTCTGACGGCGACTCTTTTGTAAGCCATGATATCCTCATTTTGTCCTTCCCTGCCATTGAAATATGCACCTGCAGCATTTTTGCACTTTAATACTCCGTATTTCATTGGATTTTACCACACCTTTGGACATTATCAATTAGTCATTATTCAAATAAATGTTCGTCATTACTGAACATAATAAAGAATAACATATATGTTAAAGAATATCCCACATCGGAACTTGAAGAGAAAATAAACCGGTATATAAGCCCTTGAGTTGAACTAACTAATCGATTGGATTCAATCTTTTAATGTGGTTCAACCCAAGTGTCTTGTTGTCCAATCCAGTTGTCCATACCCAATCCTAAATTCTATCAATATATACTTCAAAATTGAGAATAAAAAATGTAACACTTTGATCATTAATATTTTTATTTATATATATAAATGTATATAATAAAGAATAACATACTTCAAAATTATGTTTTAAACTGAATCTATTTATATTAGTTTATATAAAAATTCAATGTATTTTTTGGTAATATGCGGTTATAATTCAAAAAAAATTGACCACAAAAGTCAAATTAGGAAGTTAATTTCAGAACTAAGGGAGTACTTATTTTTACCTTTCATCTATATATCCCAAAAAAATATTTCTATTTTCATATAAAATCATCCATTACCCATACTAATTGTTAAGTGATATCTATCATACTAGTCATATCTATTCACGAGTAATCTGTCTATGATCAAATGTCATCTTACTCTACTAGTCTACCTGATCTGATCAAAGTGCACGCAGGGCCATGTTTCAGGCCCCTCAAAGGTGCTATATTAGGATAACTTCTAAATGATTAAAAAAATAACTTTTTGAATAAAATAATACATTAATTTATTAGATGTTTTAGATAATCACTATAATGAGAATATCAAAGAAAGACTATCATATAAAACGTGTTCTCTTTGATAATTTGTTTTCTTTAATTTATAAAATGTGTTTTCTTTGATAATGTTACTCTTATTTGTACAAAATTATTTATTACTCATCCGGGCTGGGATAGCTTTTAGGCTTGAGCATAAAATTCGAGTCCAACCTTAAAGTATATGGGCCACTGTTTATAGAGCCCGAGATCAGGTATCCTAAAATATCAAGCTCAAGCCTGTTATTTCGCGTACCAAGGCCCATGATTGGGTCTACCTACTATAATTCTATAAAGGGTAAAAATTTAAAATAATATTACAAATATACATTTTTAAAGCACAATCTTTTAAATAAAAATTTTGTGAGACAAAGTAGTGCGCTTATAAGAGCATCGCCAATGGCGAGGCAACTGCCAGCCACACACCTACCACATCATCCGATGTTTGCATTTGCCTCTCGTGGCTAAGCTGTTTGGCCGTGCTTGCCACGAGGCATTTTTTTTATTTTTTTGTATGATAAAGAAGATTTTTTAATTTAAAATGGAGTGCATCTATTTTTACGAAAAAAGATAAATAAAATAATTTTTAATCATTAAAATATGTTAAAAAGTGTAAAAAACTAACAAACACTAACTTGTCATTGCAAGACATCACTCAACTCATTTGTCACACGTTCACTGAATTGATGTTGATTGATTAAAATAGTTTATGTCACGGTGTGATATTCGATATTTTACTCGCATTGTCTATGCTTTAAGTAAAGGAAAAATTTAGAATTACCCAAAATAGCGTCTGTGTCTGTGAGAACGTAATATACACCCGAAGTACAAGATCTTTGCTTACCTCTAACAAATTCCTTGTAAATCATCTCCATCATGTGAACATAAACGTGGATAAGTGGTGGAATGGGCGAATGCCAAATGGGCCCTTACCGCACACGTCCCCCATTATGACGACATTAAAATGGGTAGATATGTTCGCTAGAAATTAAAATAGTAAGGCGATGACGCATTAATTGTTACGACGTCGGTTTGCGATTGTCCCTCACGGCTCCCACGCTACCACCAATCTCCCTTCCCGTACCAAACGCGTTACACATGGCCATATGACGTGGCGTTCCCAAATTCCTTAAATAAAGTACTCCAAAATCTCTTTTATAAATCAGCTCTTATTTTGACTATTAAAAAAACAAACAATGTATATTTTTGATTCCTTTCTAATTTTATTCTTCATTTGATGAGTAAAAGTAAAATGTGATGTACAGATTATTAGTGAAAAACTAAGTTTACGAAAAATTAAAGTAAATAATAATAATAAGAATAAGGCTAAAATCCACCATTGGTCTTTCAACTTTATCAGTTGTGCACGATTGGTCCTTCAAGTTTCAAAAGTTCATAAATAGTCCTTCAACTTTATGAGTTCTGCACCATTAGTTCTTCAAGTTTCAAAAGTCCATAAACAGTCATTCAGGTACACGTCAGCCCTCCAGATGAAGTCCTTTTGACAGTAAATATTAAAAGTTAAACGAAATACTAGTTTCATATAATACGAGTAAATTCCACTAGGTACGATTACTCCGTATTATATGGAGCTAGTATTCCATTTAACTTTTAACATTTATTGTAAAAAAGGACCTCATCTGGATGGCTGACGTGTACTTGAAGGACTATTTATGCACTTTTAAAACTTGAAGGACCAATCGTGCATAACTCATAAAGTTGAAGGACTATTTATGGACTTTTAAAACTTAAAGGACCAATCGTGCACAATTGATAAAGTTGAAGGACCAATGGTGGAGTTTAGCCTAAGAATAATAATTATAATACCTCGTATAATTTAACTAGTGAAGAAAGATCCGTTAAGATCTTTTTATTAAATGACCCGTTAAGATTTACGAGAGTAATAGAAAGATTGATTACTAATTGATCGAATGCTAGATTATCATCTGTGTCTGTTCGCGTAAAACATGAGATATCTATGTGATGACACGCTAGCTTTATTCTTACTAAATAAAAGTGCAACTCTAAAATTGGTTCATCTTTAGGTCGGATAAATTCTTATCCATACACTTTAAGAAACTCTTTCCATATGTTTTAAAACAAATCTTTTCACAATAAAATTTAAAGTTGATTGGTATATGTACGGTAACCGTAACACCGTCCCCCCATATTATTGGAGTTTGATTTTTTTGGAATCAAATTCATTCTATATTACTCAATAAACTCCGTGATAAAATTAAGGCTCTTTTTTTTAAAAATTTGATTCCAAAATATCAAACTGAATAAATATTCTCATATAGAGGTAGTAATAACCATCTCCGTCGCCCAAATGTTTGTTCAGTTTTAATTTTTTGCGGTTAAAATTGAACAATATTGATATTTAATTAAATAAGAATGATATTAGATATTGATACGAAAAATAAATGTATTACATTTATCATGTACAACGTTTTACAAAATATTGTTTTATTTAATTAATATATGATATAATTTTAAAATAATTATATCTGAAAAGATTGATTTAAAATAAACTCATAATTGCGGTAGTAATCACGAATCATATACACAGATCAGAGTAAATTAAGTAAATGCAATTATCATCTTAATTAATTAATAATTCCATACAAATCAGAGGAAATGAAAAGTGAGTTACCTGTTGAGGAGAATAGGAATCGAGATGTTGAGGCAGAGACACGAAAATGGAGTCCCTCGCTGGCGGCCGTTTGTAGGACAACACCGAGCGAACGCCGCCGGCGATGACGGCCACCGCCATGGCTATGGCAAGCGCTGCCGCCCGCTGGTTAAACCCGCTGCCCATTTTTATTACTTTCCCGGTGAGACCAGAGATATATATACATACTCCGTATGTGTGTGTATATGCATGGGTAGATAGAGTTTTCTTGACATCAAGTTAATTAAGGAAAATAATTATGCACTCAAAAGAAAAAGGAAAATAATTATGAGTGGATTAATTCTATCGAAATTTATGCCCCCTTTGTTTATTACTTCTTTTGTCCTAAGAGATTTGATTAATTTTATTTTATGAGTCATCCAGGAAGTTCTTTATAGTTAATTTCTTAGACATTTGAAAAAAAATGAAGAATTCGTTGCAGAGTTCTTACGTGTTTAATATAGTTGCCTACAAGTTTAGTTGTCAGGAATCGAACTCGAATCTTACTCTCTTGGCACCCGTTGCCCTCAAAATTTTATTTAAACAAAATTGAAAATGAGTATTTTCTTATCAGTAATAACTCTATTTTTTGGGCTTCACATATAACGTTTAAGTTCTGGGCTTCACTACTACGAAGTACTTCCTCTCTCTTAGAGTATTTATCTAATTTTGACTTCGGTCAAAATTAATAAATTTTGACACAATATTAAATAAAAATGTCATTAGATATTGGTACAAAAATACTTTTATTAGATTTATTATATAAGATATTTTTAAAATATTATTTTATCTAATTAATACACAATATGTATTTTCTTTAATTATATGTCAACGGTTGAAAACAGTCGACTGAAAAAAGTCAAAACTGGAATAATGCTCTGGGACGGAAATAGTAGTATTTTAATCCCTCTCTCTCTCCATATATATATATATATATATATATATATATAGACTAAAATTAAGAAAACTTGTAATTATTTGATTGAGATTTATTCAAATAAAAGAAAATAATATTTCCTCCATTCCAAAAAATAGATTTTTAGTTTGATGGAGTTGGCATAAAATTTGAGAAAAATAAAAATGCGTAGTTGGAAGTGATGCCGAAAATAGGGAAAGATTGTGAGTTACCTAAAGTTTTCCGGAATATAAAACTAATAAAACAATAATTCAATAACGAATTAATTAAGGACTCCTGAGTATATTTCAGATGCAAAGTAAAATAAAATATTGAATAGTTCATTATATACAAGATCTTGTTAATTATGAGGTACGATGTACAACCAGCATTTATAAGAAAAACATACAAGTAAAAAGTAATCTACATAAAAGACTTCATTACACATATCCATGTTTAATCATTGACTAAATGTGTGTAATTAACTAATTAAGCATTTATAAGATGTTTATATGTCAATGCAAGGAAGATGTATGGGGGGAAGTTGATGATGATAAGCTCTTAATCCATACACTATCTGCTGTAACAGATTGGTCGTCTTCATTTCTGTGCCATTCCCATTTTGCATGGCTTCCATTCACCACCTCAAGTCTTCCATGCCCAAAACTTGCCTCCCTAAACATTGATATTTCCGGCTGCGGTTTCTTATAACTGCATTTTTAATCCATAAATATTACAAGTATTAAGAATAATAGATGTATAACAAAATAAAGTATCATCATTTATTACCTTTCTTATTTTATTGTTTTTTATTGTATTGTTACAATATGTATTTTATTATGATTAGAACTTTCTCTTGTAATCTCTTTATATAGGGATGTATCTTTCAGTATTTAATAAGACTAATTATTATCAAATTGGACCAAATATTTTTGGATTAATATACATAAATGTCATAAAAGAAATCGGCAAGGATCTCTTGACATTGGCATCAAGTTACCTTAAATGACCTTGGCATTTTGAGGCACCTATGGTGCTATGTTGGTAAATTTGATGTTTCTTACCCACCCAAACCCCCGCCATCTCCTAAACCCCCCTTCCTCAAACCCTACCACCTCTCAATGCCCCCACCGTAGATTATCGATTTTGTAGTGCCAAATCGGTGGTCTAGGGTGGAAGGGGGCAGGGTGGGATGCCGGGAGAATTAAGAGATAAGAACTATCAATTTTATCAAAGTATTGCTCTAAAGACCTGAGGTTATTATATGACCTTGAAAATTAAGATCAAAATTACCATTGCGTAAAGAAATATATAATTATTCCATTTAAAAAAAAAGAAAAAGGAAAGGGGGGTCATGTATTTGAAAACTAAAGAATAACAAATTAAACTTACTGGGTTGCAAGACCTTCACGATTACCACCATCTCCAATTGTGATATACATCGGCCCACATTTGTTTGCTTTGTTTTTGTACACTCGAGCCTAAATCATTCCCAAATATATATAATAAGATATTATATTTGAAGGGAAAAGTGATTATTAAAATACTATAACAAGTTCTTCAATTCATGAGTAGCCGGGATCTATTTTTTGCTCAAACCTTACACCTAAGGTGAATATAATAGCATTTGTTTTTTAGGTTGAGTGATGATTTAGGCTTATAGTCATAGTTAATCTAGTATGCTGAAGAAAATTTATACTTGTATAATCTAATAGAGGTCTTCTTACAAAGCGCTCGTAGGCATGAACATGACCCGAGAAAACGACGTCGGTTTTGGCCTTAAAGAGCAAGTCTTCCATGGCATCTTTCATGTCAACACTTTCCTTCTCCCCTTGATGGGCAGTGTTGGAGTTGTACCATGGTGCGTGCACAAATACAAACAGCCATGGAGTCTTGGTTCGATCAATTTTCTTCAAGTCTGATTGAAGCCACTTGTATTGTGCCGAACCGCGTTCAAACTTGGCGTACGACCCCAGCATTACGACGTGGACTCCGGCGACGTCGAAGGAGTAGTAAAGGTTGGAGTGGGACCCACTCTCCTTAAAAGGCATTAGCCACCTGGCATTGTACGCAGTGAACGGCTTTGGATGGATTCCGGGGATTTTCTCCACTTCGTGGTTGCCCTGTGTCACCATCCACGGTCGTTCACTCGCGAGCGGCTCTACCAGCCTTCCGTACGAGTCCCACCGTGGCTGGTACATGTCCGCGTAGGACAAATCCCCCGGGAGCAACAACATATCGTAGTTCGACTTTGAGATGTGTTTTAGGGTTGATTTGGTCCACCCTGTTTGTCCAAGATCACCTTCAATAATTTTCACCAATCAATCAAACACTTAAATCAATGAAAATGTCTGGGAGGGTCTAAATACGTAATTTGATACAATTATTAGTGATAGGTTGGGATGACAAGCAATAATAGATGATTGAGTAGCCGGAGGCTAAAAGATCTGTTACTCTGTTAGAATTTAAAAAATATTTACTGGGTTACAACCATAAATTTGAGCTTTTGGTTGAATGAGTTCCTTACACAAAATCAAGAAACTCATCCAACCAAAAATTCAAGGTTATGATTGTAGCTCAGTAAATATTTCTTATATTCTGTGCAATTACCCGCGATTGCGAATTTGATGGGGAAACTGGAAGGCGGAGTTGTGAAATTATATTGGCGGGATGGGGCGGAGCCGCCGGGGAAGCGGTAGTAGTAGATGGTGCTGGGAGAAAGCGGGCCGATGACGGCGTGGTGAATATCGCCGGATTTGTACAACATGTATTTGTAGCTTGTGGTGTTCCCAGTGGCAGAGAAGGTGTAATTCCCCGGAGATGTGCCGTACTCCACCGTCGCCGCCGTGTCCGGCGGCGACTCTTCTGTGAGCCATGATATCCTCATTTTATCCTTCCCCGCGATTGAAATGTGTACCTGCGAATAATTGCGATTGAATTTGCATTGAACATTACTCCCTAATACAATTAAATCATTTTAATACTATTTCCCATCATTATAATTTTTATTTAATTAAGAGGAATTAATAAAAGAGTTTACCTGTTGAGGGGAATAGGAATCGAGATGTTGTGGCTGAGATACGAAAATGGAGTCCCTCGCCGGCGGCCGTTGGTAGGACAACACAGAGCAAGCGCCGCCGGCGATGATGGCCACCGTCATGACTATGGCAAGCGCTGCCGTCCGCTGGTTAAACCCGCTGCCCATTTTTTTTTATCACTTTTCCGGGACAGACCGGAGTTATAATTAAAGGTCCGGTTGCTTGAAATTTGAAAGAAATTGATATAGTTTGGCTGTTTTTTTATAAGGGTTATTAGGGATGGGGTGGGGGGGGGGGTGGGGAAGGAACAGGGTGGAGGTTATTTTGGAGTAAAATTTGAAAAATGTGATAATCTAAAAGTACCATGATGTATTGTAGATGAATTTAGTAAAATTATAATACTCAAATGATGCTAGATGCTAGTAGAATTTAAAAGTTTGGGTGTATTCCATTTATAGTATGTTTGAGAACATGGATTTGGATTTCAAATCTGGATTTAGCTCAAATCTCATGTTTGGAAAACTTAAAAAATTTGAATTTGGATTTAAGTCAAATTCTTCTCATTCAAAACAAACCTTAATTTGAAATACATGCTCCTCCTCTTGTCATTTGAATTTCAAGATTTTAAATTTTGGAATTGAAATGCATGAATTGAAATGAAATACTAGTTGCCAAACACTACCTTAAATAATTTAAAATCTATGAAGATCTAAGTGTAAGTAATAAGAATGTTAAAATATCTATATGAAATCTACAAAAGCTTATAGATATAAAGCTTGTTTGCGAATAGCGTTTAAGATTAGGGTTAGCCTTTTGAATAAAATTTCAACGGTGTAGATTATTCTAAGAACGCTAAACATTATCCGTAGATTACCTTATCAAAACGCTAATGCTAATCTCTAATATTATTCTTAAATGGGCCCATAGTAAAACTTTTACTGGGAAAAAGTGAATACCCTGTAATATAAAAGACATAAATTTCAAAGAATCATTCATTGTGAACATTTTACTTATTAGCAAAAACAATTTTTTTGAATATTATCACATCATACTTTTACTCATCACATGCAAAGACATTTTTGAAAAGTCAACCCCAAATTGATCTCCCCCTAACTCTTTTTTAAGTAAAAATAAAAAAAGTTTTGTGGGACGAAGAGAGTATTTAAGATCTACTTTAGCACTTGCCAATTCTTAAGTGAAAAAGTTTACCCCATAAATATGGCATGATTTTGATAAAACAAAAAACAGTGTCGTTATTTCTAATAAAAAAATGTTTTTTTGGGGGGTGGGGGGGGGTGGACTAGAAGAATTTTATGGGAAAAATAGTTTTTCAACCACTTGATCGAGCTCTCTCGTATCATCTTTTAAGTTTTGTTAAGTCGGTGGGTGTTGTGCTGTTGGCAAGGCAAGAGGTGTCAAGGAATAAAATCCGAATTTGATTTCTGGCAATTGCGCTAGGAGGCAACTATGTTACACATAGTGTCTCTGCAAGTACTAAGTGCAAGCTCCACTCTTTGCCATCAATCTGTGATTAAAGTCTAATTTATCTCCTCTCAATAACTATATAGCCGGGTCTGGGGGGCCCTCAGGAGGTTCATCCTTTTTTTGCTAAAGTTTTGTTAAAACGTGTTGGATTATTTTCAAGAAAATATTTTCACACATAGGCATTTACACAGGAAAAAAATTGACATTAAAAAAAGCTTGAAAATATGCTAGCTAATGCATGATCACCGGGCAATAAATATAAATAAAAAACACATGTTGCCCCAAAAAAAATGGGTTTGAATTCTCAAAAATGTGCACAAGTCTTTATAAAACTTCCGATGTTGTACACTTCTTCCGAACTTATTAAAATGAGGGTTAATTAAAGATCAAATGGTGAGACAAACATGAAACATGATGAGTGAAACATTCATGTTTATGGGGCTTAGAGCAAATCTCGATGTGGTCCGAAGAATGTTCTTCACATTTAATTTTTTTTATCAAAATTTGAAAACTTTGATTCCGATTTGTAAAACAAATAAATTGTAATATGATATAAATTTAATATCAACATATTCTTATTGAAATATAGTTTTTAAATACTCGGTATCAAATTCCTATAATATATATTTATGCATAAATATAAATATTATTGGTCAAAGAGTATTATTAGAGACCGTAAAAAATCTAATAGAAAGAACATATTTGGACAGGAGTAGTACTCCGTATCAGATTTTTCCAAATAAGAGTGTTAGGTTCGACTCATCCAACCCGCACTGAAAATGGGAAGATATGACTTATGAGCTACAACAATTGTTCGTATGGACGGGTTGGGTTGGACCCAATTTTAACATGGATGGATATGAGATTTAAGGTTCACCCGTTCGGTCCAACAGAACCACTCATTTTCCAAAATTATAGTCTCACATGACAATAATATTTGATTGGAGTTATTTTTAAATCAGTATAAATAAAATTGGTGTAGAATTAAAAACAAAAAATTACTCCCTCCGTCCTAAAATTTTCTTCCAACTTCCCCTTTTTCTCCGTCCTAAAACTACCTTCCCATTAGAAAAATAAAGATGACAAATGACATTAATACCCTCATGTATTTACACCAATTATCTTCTAACTCTATATTTTGAATGATTGCAAAAAAAATTCTGAAAACTTCCTTACGGAAGACTATATTTTTCTATGTCCCAAGGATTACAATTGGCTGCCGTATATATGTGCAAACAAACAAAAGGAAACCTATTTACAATAGACATCTATTCTTCCTAAATGGTAATAAATAAATATGGCCACAATATCCTCCAATATGCTGTGCGTGACCCATTCTTCCACAAATCATGCATATCCATAAATAATAATGTATACCATGTGTAAAAACCCTCAAGCCCGTAATATTATTCAAGGCAAATTATTATTGTTGTGTTTCTCAAAAGATCTCCCCCTTTAATATATGGGTGGAGAGTAGAATCATACAAGGAAACAAATACTCAATCTACTTAAGGAAACAAATCATGGTCCGGGAAGGAAACAAGAACCCTCTTGGATACGGTCTTTGTGGTAGCCATGTCTTGCGGCCCAAGTCTCGCTAATACCCCCCCTCAAGCTGGAGCATGCGGATTCCGGATGCCCAGCTTGGGCAACAAGCGTTCAAAAGTAGGTGACGGAAGCGCCTTGGTGAACAAGTCGGCAGGTTGATCATGAGAAGCAATATGGAAAGTGCGAAGGACGCCGCGTTGAATCTCATCACGAACGAAATGGCAGTCGATCTCGATATGTTTTGTGCGTTCATGAAACACGAGATTAGCGGCGATATGAAGGGCAGCCTGATTATCGCAGTGCAGTGACATAGGGGAAGTGTGCCGCACGCCAAGAGAGAGGAGAAGAGGGTGCAGCCACTTGAGTTCACAGACCGTAGTTGCCATTGCACGATATTCAGCTTTAGTAGAAGAGCGAGATACAGTGTGTTGTTTCTTTGTACGCCAGGACACCGGGGAATCACCAAGTTTGATAAAGTAGCCCGTGACAGAGCGGCGTGTGAGGGGGCAGCTAGCCCAATCAGAATCACAGAAGGCGGTGAGAGTGAGGTCACAGCGGGCTGGAAGAAATAAACCCTGTCCCGGCCGTTGCTTGAGATACCGAACAGTATGCATGGCAGCGTCCCAATGTTCTTGTTTCGGAGAGCCCATGAATTGAGAAAGAGTGTGCACGGCATAGGCGAGGTCGGGACGTGAGATGGTGAGATAGATGAGCCGGCCAACCAACCGACGAAACTGCCCAGCTGCAGCGTGGCCGAGGTCGGCCCCGGTTGCCAGGGCAAGACGATGGTTCACTGGCAGAGGGGCCACTGCCGGTCTGGAACCAAGCATGCCCGTCTCGGTGAGAATGTCTAAAGAGTATTTGCGTTGGCACAAGAAGATGCCGTGTGAATTCCGTGCAACCTCCAGCCCCAGGAAATATTTTAATGGCCCCAAATCTTTCATATGAAAACATGTGGACAACAAGTGCTTGAACTTGGCAATGGATTGTTCGTTGCTTCCAGCAATTACCAAATCATCAACATAGATGAGAACCGAAGCTCTACACCCCCCCTGTGGAAAATAAATAAAGAATAATCTGCCTTGGATTGTTGAAACCCAAACGAGCGCAAAGCGGAAGTCAATTTTGCGAACCAGCACCGGGGAGCCTGACGTAAACCGTACAAGGATTTGTGAAGACGGCAGACCAGCCCCTGTTCACGTGCAGATGAGCCGGGGGGCAGACGCATATATACCTCGTCATCGAGGTTGCCATGAAGGAAAGCGTTATGAACATCCATCTGGTGTAAACTCCAGTTCCGAGCCGCAGCAACCGCAAGCAACATACGTACGGTGACCAATTTAGCGGTGGGTGCAAAAGTTTCCTTGAAGTCAATCCCTTCTTTTTGTTTATTGCCCAGCATGACCAACCGGGCCTTATAGCGTTCAATGGTCCCATCGGACTTATGCTTGATTTTGAAGACCCATTTCGAACCAATAGCTTTCTTTCCGGGAGGAAGAGACACGAGCGTCCATGTTTTATTTGCTTCAAGGGCCCAGATTTCATCATTCATAGCCTGCCGCCAATGGGGGTGTTTGACTGCTTCCGAAAGATTAGTTGGCTCGATCTCTGCACTGATTGCTGCCAAAAACACTCTATGCGACAAAGAAAAATTGTCATAATTAACAAAATTTGTAATACAGTAGTTCGTACCTGAAGACGAGGCCGGAGTCGAGGAGGTGCTGGAAGGCCCTTGAATGGCGTGAACGACAAAGTCACGCAGCCGTGTGGATGGTTGTCTGTCACGGGTACTACGGCGTAAGGGAATAGGAGGTGGAGAAGAAGGCTCAGGTGTTGGGTTGATGGCAGGTGTGGTGGCGGGTGTTGGTTTGGTGGATTCACTGGTGGACTCAAGAATAGTGGCGGGTGTGGTTTCGGTGACAGGCACTTCGGGCAGTGGCAGAACCCTGGGCAGCGGCGCATCCTCATCGTCGTCAGCGAGAGGGATGTCCGGCGTGTGATCCGTAGGGACAGAGGGAGTGTGAAATGGGAAGACATCCTCAAAGAATTTGACGTCCCGACTTGTAAAAACCTTGAAATTTTCCAAGTTGAGTAGACGCCACCCTTTTTGCCCAAACGGATAACCAAGAAAAACACATTTTCGAGATCGACTGGCAAATTTGTCACCATGATGATTTAGGTTATGAGTGTAGGCTAGACACCCAAATGTGCGAATGTGATTATAGGAGGGAGTTTGACCAAGGAGAGCTTCATAGGGCGTTTTATGACCCAGGAGTGGAGTGGGGGTACGATTGATCAAGTAACCGGCAGTGAGAACACAGTCCCCCCAATATTTGATGGGAAGGTTGGCTTGAAAACGTAAGGCACGCGCCACGTTAAGGATGTGGCGGTGCTTACGCTCCACTCGCCCATTTTGTTGAGGCGTTCCTACACATGATGTTTCAAAGAAGATTCCATGAGATTGAAAGAAGGAACGCATACAAGTGAATTCCGTCCCATTATCACTGCGTATGGTTTTGACAGTCGCCCCAAATTGTCGTTCGACCATAGCAAAAAAAATTCGAAGAATAGATGGAGTCTCATCTTTGTGATTCAACAAATAAACCCATACAGCCCTAGAGAAATCATCGACTATAGTCAAGAAATATCTTGCCCCAGTTCTTGAGGCAGTTCTATAAGCACCCACAGATCACAATGAATCAAATGAAAAGGAATTTGAGATTGGTTATAACTATCTAGAAAAGAATCACGACATTGTTTGGAACGGAAACACACATCACACGGAGCACCGTCTACATGATTTTTATTTAAGGAAATATGAGGAAGAAAACTGAGAACAGAATGGGAAGGATGTCCCAAACGCTTATGCCAAGTACTCGCCACATCGTCCCTCCGTACGACACATGCTTTGTCAGGCACACCCTTCTGAAGGAAGTAGATACCTCCTTGACGCCTACCCGCTCCAATCACCGTCTTCGAGGCATAATCCTGTATAAGACAAACCTTGTCAATAAATTGTACAATTAATCGTTTATCACATAAGAGCTGAGAGACAGAAATCAGGTTGCAATTGAGATTGGGAACCAGTAGGACGTTGGCTAAAGTGAGTGTGCCGCTCAACTGCACACGACCTTTCTTTGTGGCCGCCACAATGTCACCATTCGGAAGAGTAACCGAACAGTGTTGTACTCGCTCAACATGGGTTAAGACTTCCTCGTTTCCCGTCATGTGTTGACTCGCCCCGCTGTCTATAATCCAAGAGGTAGTGAGATTACCTGAAAAGGTGTTTTCAAGGGGGATGTCCTTCTCCTTTAATAGATTCATCAAGGTGCTCCACTGCTTGGATGTGAAGGCTTCCCGTTCGCTGCTTGCTTGCTCTGTTCGGGCTGTGTGTGCTGCGGCAGTAGTCCCAAAACCAGCTGGGTTCCGGCTGTTACGTCCGCCAGAGGCACCAGTTCTGCCCCCCAGCCGACCACCTCCGCGACCAACCCGGCTTCCTCCTCGGTTATTGATTTGTCCACGCGGCCTATCACCCCACCATTCCGGATACCTAATCAATTGAAAACAGCCACTGATTTCATGCCCATTCATACCGCAATGTTTGCATTTAACATCTCTGGTCGTGTCGTGGTCTGCTCGCTCTCGGTTTGCTCGGTTGATAACGGCAAAACTGACCGGGTTTTTCTCTTCTTCTTGGGTGGTCACTTTAAGAACACCTTCTTGTTGTATAATCGTTGAGTATACACGATTGAGCGGTGCGAGCGGGGTGGTACTCAGAATGTTAGAACGCACGCCGCTATAGCCCTCGTTATCGAGTCCCATCAAGAATTGATGCACCTTTTCATTCTCCTTTTGCGTCTCTATTGTTTTAATGGCACCACACTTGCACGCGCGGCACTTTGCACATGTAGGCAATTTCTCAATCCTATCCAATTCATCCCAAATGGTTTTTATTTTGCCAAAATAAGAGGCAATAGGCTGTCCATTTTGTTTGCAATTCGCCAACTCCTTCTTGAGTTGGTTAACGCGTGGGCCGTCTGCCACTGAAAATCGTTCTTGAATGTCCTTCCAAAGTTGCGCCGCTTCCTCAACTTGGGTGATGGAGTTTTGGAGTGAACCATCGATGGTGTTAAAGATCCAAGACACCAACATGGCATTCACGATCCACCATTCCTCAGCCTGTTCTTCGTCATCTTCGGGCAAGGGAATTGACCCGTCGATGAAACCAAATTTTCTCTTGGCACGGAGTGCGATACGCACGGCCTGAGCCCATTCTTCGTAATTGTCCCCCGTCAATTTGATCTGCGTAATCACCAACGCAGGTGTGTCTGCTGATTTGAGTTCATAAGGACTTACCCTTACTATTTCTTCTTCGCCGGTGGCTTTCGAGAAAGGGTTCGCCGATTGATCGTCGGCCATGGCTCTCGGTCAGATCACGTCTGCTGCTCCGATACCATGTGAAAACCCTCAAGCCCGTAATATTATTCAAGGCAAATTATTATTGTTGTGTTTCTCAAAAGATCTCCCCCTTTAATATATGGGTGGAGAGTAGAATCATACAAGGAAACAAATACTCAATCTACTTAAGGAAACAAATCATGGTCCGGGAAGGAAACAAGATCCCTCATGGATACGGTCTTTGTGGTAGCCATGTCTTGCGGCCCAAGTCTCGCTAATACCATGTTTAACACCCCCCCCCCCTCAAGTTGGAGCATGTCATAAACAAATGCCCAACTTGGGTAGTAAAGCATCATAACGTCCTTTTCCAAGAGCCTTGGTGAGAATATCCGCACCACACTGATTATGAGTAGAAACATGAGAAGTACGGATGGAACCCTGTAATAACTCATCACGAACGAAATGGCAATCGATCTCAATATGTTTAGTACGCTCGTGAAAAACGGGGTTCGCAGCAATATGCAATGCGGCAGTGCTGTCACAAAAAATTTGCATCGGAGTAGGATGAGAGATGCCCAAAAAACGTAACAAACCTCGAAGCCACTTAAGCTCGCATGTTAAGACAGCTAAGGAGCGATATTCGGCCTCGGCAGAGGATCGTGCTACAGTTGGCTGTTTCTTGGTTTTCCAGGAGATGGGGGATATTGTAAGTTGAACAAACCAGCCAGTCAAAGAGCGACGAGTCAAGGGGCAAGCGGCCCAATCTGAGTCACACCATCCTGTCAAATGAAGAGAACTATCAGAACGAAGTAGAATTCTATGTCCCGGAGTCCCTTTAAGATAATGAACAACCCAAAGAGCCGCATTCCAATGATCAATCTTGGGCTCTTGAAGGAACTGAGCAAGAGTATGTACGGCATAAGAAAGATCGGGACGAGTAACAGACAAGTATACCAATCGGCCTACCAACCGACGATACGCTCCCGGGTTATCAAGAAGAGGTCCTGAAGCCAAAGCAAGTTTATGATTGGGTTCTAACGGAGCGCCAAGTGCACGACACCCAAGCAAACCAGTCTCAGAAATAATGTCAAGGGCATATTTCCGTTGACATAAAAATATACCTGTAGAATTCCTAGCGACCTCAATACCCAAAAAATATTTTAAAGTGCCCAAGTCTTTCATATGAAAACAGTCAGACAAATACTTCTTGAAACGGCCAATTTCGAGAGAATTGTTCCCAGCTATCACGAGATCATCAACATAGACCAGGACATGCACCACAGAAGCCCCGTTGTGAAGGGAGAACAAAGAATAATCTGAATGAGACTGAACAAAGCCGTACCTGCGCAATGCACCAGAAAGCTTGGCAAACCACCACCGCGGCGCTTGCTTTAGGCCATAGAGTGACTTGTGTAACTTACACACCAAACCCGGGGTTGTAGAATGATAACCCCGTGGAGGTCGCATATATACTTCATCAATTAAATCTCCATGAAGAAAGGCATTGTGAACATCCATTTGATGAAGCTCCTAGTGACGGATGGCGGCAACAGCTAGAAGAACGCGAACAGTAGTGAGTTTGACGACAGGAGCAAAGGTTTCTTGGTAATCAATACCCTCAACTTGATGATTACCCAAAATTACGAGACGAGCTTTGTATCGCTCAATGGAACCGTCAGATTTCCGCTTGATACGATAGACCCATTTACAACCCAACGCCTTCTTGTGACGTGGTAATGGGACGAGCGTCCATGTGTTATTCTTCTCCAGTGCGGCTAGTTCGTCGGACATAGCATGTCGCCAATGTGGAGACTGCACAGCGTGTTTATATAATTGAGGTTCAAAATCAGAGTCCACCGCGGCTAAGAAAGCTCTGTGAGAAGAAGAAAACCGAGCATACCCAATGTAATGCGTCAAAGGATACTGACACGTGGAGGCACTATCATGGGTAACAGCATAAGTTTGGTAATCCGCTAAACGTACATTGGGTGTGCGTTGCCGGTGACCTCGACCCAAAGTGGCAGATGCTGGCTGGAGAGCTGAAGAAGTGGCAGTGTTGTTATTGGCGGCTGGAGGGTTTGTGGACGACGACCCGAACTGCCAGAAAATGTGGGCTGAAGTTCTGAAGTATCCGTGGGCTGAGGACGGGCAGCAGTCAGGGTGGCAGTGGGCAGGGCAATAGGTAGGGAATCAGTGCCCCCCCTTTCTGGTAACCGCCGATTTCCAAGATCTTCTTCATCATCCAAATAAGGCAAGGAATTATCATTAAAAGAGGTTTCTGTACCAAGAGATTTGTGATCCTGAAAAGGAAAAGTATTTTCATGAAATATAACATCACGAGAGATAATAAATTTTCCGGTATCCCGACAATAAACACGCCATCCTTTCTTTCCATGTGGATAGCCCAAAAATATTCCTTGCAAACTTCGGGACGCAAATTTATCTCCGTGACGGTCTTGATTATGAACGTAGCATAGACACCCAAAAGTCCGCATATGGGTCAACACTGGAGGAGAACCGAACATGAGTTCATAAGGAGTTTTTCCGTGCAAGACAGTAGATGGAGTCCGGTTTATGAGATATGCAGCAGTGAGTATGCACTCGCCCCAAAATTCAATCGGAAGAAAGGCTTGAAAACGGAGGGCACGTGCAACGTTAAGGATATGACGATGCTTACGCTCGACCCTTCCGTTTTGTTGTGGTGTGCCGCGACACGATGTCTCATGCAAAATACCATGTTCATGAAAAAATGGATTAAGACATTCAAACTCGGTTCCATTATCACTACGTAGAACTTTAAGCTTTGCATTAAATTGACGGTCAATTAAAGCACAAAATTGACGGAAAATTGATAGCACCTCCGATTTTGCACGTAGTAAATAAACCCAAGTACCACGGGAAAAATCATCCACGATGGTCAAAAAAGAAGTAAAACCATCCAAGCTAGGTGTCCGGTACGGACCCCACACATCAATATGAACAACTTGAAAAAATTCGGTCGCTTTATTAGCACTTGAAGGAAAAGAGGCACGACACTGTTTTGCACGCAAACAAATATCACACGGCCCATTATTCAAAACACTAGATTTACTATCACTAGCAATAGGTAAGAACGACAAAACTTTCGGTGACGGATGCCCCAAACGTTTATGCCATAGATCGAACGAACATTCCTTCGCAGTGGAGAATGCATGTGCCACCGAAGCCTGCTGAAAATAATATAAGCCATCAAATTGTCTACCCGCACCAATCACCCGCATCGTGATACGGTCCTGTAACAAACATAATGATCCATCGAATTTCACCACCAAGTTAGTCTCCTTGATCAAATGAGACACCAAGAGCAAATTACAACTCAAATCAGGCACAAACAAGACATTATTCAGAACAACCGAATCATTTAGTCGAACCCGACCCGCAGTTGTAGCCGTTACCGTCTTTCCATCCGGCAAACGAATCCAACAACTCGGTACATCATGTATATCAATCAAACAACGTAAATCACCCGTCATATGATTCGTTGCACCAGTATCAATTATGCATCTTTTAGTGAAAGGAATACCATTTAATTTTTCAGACGGAACATCTTTGACGGAGGCGAGAAGTGCTCTAAATGTGTCCCATTGCTCTGCGGTCAAGGAAGGGATAGCTCCAGTAGAAGATTCACCACTGTTGGCTCCTCTATTTACTGCGGCAACATGGGCAGATTCCCTGGCATGGGCTGCATGCGGCTGTTGGAGTTGCTGTCCGCCAGAGCCTCTGCCGGCAGTCCCGCCTCGCCCACGCCCGCGGCCTCTTCCGCCACTATAACGACCCCAGCCCTCCGGATAGCCATGAAGTTGGTAGCAAGTATCCTTATCGTGGCCCAACCTCTTGCAATATGAACAAGAGACGTTATTTTTGTCACGTGGCTTTTCCGAGGCAACAATCCGGGATGCAAAGGCGGCATTTTCGGGACGCTCACGTGCGTGGGCTGCTCTTGCTCTTGCTGTTTCCTCCTGCGTCATCACACGATACACGCGAGCGGTCGTAGGGAACGATTCTTGAGAGAGAATAGTAGAGCGAAGATGTCCGTACTTATTTTCGTCAAGTCCCATCAAGAATTGATGCACTTTTTCTTCATCCTTCTTTTTCTCCAATTGTTGAGCAAGATTGCACTCGCACTTACCACACGTGCAAGTAGGAAAATGATCAACATCATTCAAATCGTCCCAAAGTTTCTTCAATCGACCATAATAGGAAGCAATGGTCAAGCCACGTTGATCACACGTCGTCAATTCCCGCTTAAGTTGTTGAATTCGTGGGCCGACGGAAAATTGAGCTTTGATGTCATCCCATAGATCTCGTGCCATCTCCATATGTGAGATCGTCATGCGAAGTGACGGCTCAATCGTGTTCCGTATCCATGAAACGAGGAGTGAATTGTTGGTCCACCAATCTTCCAAATCAGGAGAGTCGTCAGTGGGCTTCGGGATTGATCCATCCACGAAACCGAATTTTTTCCGAGCACGAAGCGCGGTGCGAATCGCACGTGCCCACTCTTCGTAGTTTTCACCTTTGAGAATAACCTGCGTGATAATCAACCCCGGATTATCATTGGCATGAAGATCGTATGGCGAGATTGTACGACGTTGAGGAACTCCACTACCGCCGGTGTCGCCGTCGGCTTTCTTTTCCCCGAAATTCGCCATATTCTTCTACGCCAAAAAAAACGAACGGAAAACCTACACAGCCTGTGGGCTCCGATACCATGAAAACTTCCTTACGGAAGACTACTACCTCCGTCCCACTGTCTTTGTCCACTTTTGACTTTTGGAACTGTTCATCAAAGCACTTTGACTCATCAAATTCTCTCAATGTGTAAGCCTAAAAATAGTCATGTGTGATCTTATTTGATTCGTCTTAACATATAGATTATTAATATATAATTTCTATAATTTTTTAATATACAAATTACAAGATAAAATGGATTAAAGAAGTGCATTGGATGATGTGCCAAAAGGTAAGTGGACAAAGACAGTGGGACGGAGGGAGTATATTTTTCTATGTCCCAAGGATTACAATTGGCTGCCGTATATATGTGCAAACAAACAAAAGGAAACCTATTTACAGTAGACATCTATTCTTCCTAAATGGTAATAAATAAATATGGCCACAATATCCTCCAATATGCTGTGCGTGACCCATTCTTCCACAAATCATGCATATCCATAAATAATAATGTATACCATGTTTAACAAATTCAAATAATCTTTTTTAAGAAGGATAAAATTTAAAATCAAAGCTAAAAATTAAAAATGGAGAAAAGTCAAACTGAGAAGAAAGTTTTAGGACGGAGTGTATTTTGATATTGAATTTCTAAAAATGTCCTTTGATGTGATTAGTAAAAGTATGATTTGATGAATAGATTATTAGTAAAAGGGTATAATGTGATAGATATGGTATGAAAAAATAAGGGGTAAAAATGACTTTTTAATAGAAATGAGAAGTGTTTTTTGGGATGGATGAAAAAAGAAAGAAGAAAGGTTTTCAGGGACGGAGCAAGTATCAATTACACAATTTTAGTTTATTTAATTAAGTGTTATGTACACTCTAAAAGATTAATTGTTATGTGTCGCAAAAATAGAGGGACGAAGGGAATAGTTATTGGGATTTCATTGAGACATCAATCTCTAATTTCTCCACTAATTACATCTTTGATTTGAGATTTCAATTATCGCATTATAATGTACTACGTAATACCCTCATTAACCCAACAAAACAAAATCGAATTATCAAACTTATGACTTCATACTCCATGTACTGTGCAAAGTTTGTTCATTTAAATCTCAAATTCTTTTTTTGAAAGACTCAATTTGTCATTTATCTTAGATGATGTAATTTCCACGCAAAAAAAAAAAAAAAACTTATGTAATTTCGGATTTTGCTTATAAATAATTCTGGCTTCGTTAGGGCCGGAGCCTGCCCGATTGTTGGTAAATATCTAATATCTTGAATACAAAATGACGCCAAACGGCCCACATAATTTTTTTAATACGTTTGGGCCAACTATGGTATAGGGCAACTGTCTATTTGGGACTGACGGCCCAACTCTTAACCAGGTATCTCCCTTCTTGATTTCAATTTCACACATGTGTTTTTTCAATTTGACATTTTATACTCCGTATTAAATTATACCCTGTAAAAATTAGTGGTAATACTATGGCTATTTTTTATTTTATTTTATGAATGTTTTATTTTTCAATATTTATGAAAATTGTGTATGCAAATGCCAAATTAGTAGTAGGGAGAAAGATAAAAGTAGGACTAAAACATTGAATATATATCAAAATAGGACTTTCATGTTTTTATTCTCGAAATAGGAATTACATTACCAAACATGGTCATGTACATTACCAAAAAAGTATAGTAATGTGCACATGTACGATGCCACATTACCACAGTGCAACGTTCTATTTCGAAAAAAAACATGAAAGTCCTATTTTAGAACTTTTCTCTATGTTTTAGTTTTATTTAATTATGGTGATTTCTATTAGTAGTAACCCGATTTATTAACTCGTTGGTTCGGGTTACGCGGGATGAGATGTTACAATATTTTTTATTTCTACCATGTTTTTTATCATGTTTTCATTTCTCTTTTCTAAATAAAGAAATGTTATAAATATTTGATATATCAAAACTAGATTCTTCGATGAATCCAATTATATTAAATTTATATTATAATTCAACATACTTTAATTTTCTCACAATTTGTAGTTTAAACGTGTAACCGTTTGACCAAATACTATTGAAAATGGGTAATGTTTTATGAGACGGAGGAAGTATTTTTTTGTTTTTGGTTGAGAATTGATAAAGTAAAACAAACCTTCAGATCGAAACAACAAATGTAAAACCCAAAGTGTTAGTGAGATTTCTAATTTACAATAAATGCAACGTATAGCACCGGGAAACAACAAATGTCAAACCCAAAGTGTTAGTGGGATTTCTTGGTTGTTCGTCCGATCAAAGAAAAAGTTATGTCACATTCACACATGACATGATATAGGGCCTATTTGGAAATATCGCTACAGATTAGCGTTAGCATTTTGGATAAAATTTTAACGTTGCAGGTTATTTTTAAAACGCTAACGCTAAATGCTGTCCGTAGATAACTATTCAAAATACTAACACTAATCTCTCACGCTATTCCCAAATAGACCCATAGAAATTAGATATCGCTAATAATGGCTCATAGATATTCAGCAAACAAAATAATTTCCCAACAAATACAGATTATGTGTAATGTGTAATAGTACGTGTTATATAAGATCATTGACATTTCTAAATTAAAGCAACATTTTAATTGGACATCAACATATTGAAACTTGAAAGCAAGTGAATATCCATATATATGGTTATATGGTCACGGAATATATAGATGAGTAGTTAAACTAGCAATTCAAGTCATTATCATCAACCCAGTGCCTGTTACGTTATTAATTATTTTGAGTGTTTGGGCGGAAACGAACATATATTAAGGTGAGATATTTATTTATTTATGTTTTTTTTCATAACATTTTTAATTCACATTACATTCTTTCCATCTCAAAAAATCTTGTTAGTTTAACTAATCTTTTTGATCAAACAGTTTCAAACTTATGATTATTAAATTACAATAATAAGTATATAGAATAATTTTAAATAAATATATGTTGTAAAAATATATTGAACGTAATATATGAAAACTATATTTTAGAATAGATTTAATTATTCGGAGTAATAAATTGCAACAGCTAGCTATCCCTCTGTGGGTGGTTTAATTTGGTTTGATCCCTTAGCTTACAATACATAATTTTTGTTGAAGAATTGACAATTATTATTACGACCAACTTAATTTGTTTAACTTCCTCCCACTCCAACAACTAACATAGTACGTACCTACGTTGAAAAACTTCCACTCCCTTCCTCTCAAAATTATTTTCTGGTTTGATTTTTTGTCTTTCTAATTTTAACTACGGAGTATAAAATATTGAAAAAAATATATTATGTTATAATAGAAATTTAATATAAATAGATTTATTTTGAAATAAATTTAGAAATATTAAGTTTTCATAAAATAAAATTATATATAAATAAATATATTAATAATCGATGTTGTGCATTGGAAAATACTCCCTCCGTTCCCCATAGATCTTCCCAATAGTCCTTTTTCTTTGTCCACAATAGATCTTCTCATTTCATTTTTTAACAATTAAAATACCACAACTACCCCCACTTACTTTATTTATTACACCTCACACACCTCATTTAATACACTCCACCCATTTTCATTAAGGGTATTATGGTAAATTTTTACCTTTTTTCAACTCTCTTTAAAAACCACCAAAAGTCAAAATGAGAACATCTTAGGGGGACGGAGGGAGTATTCAAAAGGAAACCGGAAGATAATTCTGAAACGGGGAGAGTAATTCTCATTAATGTCTCCTAATCCCCAAGTGCAAATCCTATAAATACATGCAAACCTCAACAAGAACAAAAAAACCATATCACAACATTAATAATTTTACACTTAATAATAATAATAATACGGAGTATATAGTTGTATGTCGCTGTTACAAAGACTATATATATATATATATATATATATATAAATATCATAGGTATGCCGCGAGTTTCCACGTCGTCATCCACGGCGGAGCTGGCGGAGAAGGTGTCGTGGTACTGCGCCCTGGCCGTGGCGCTACTGCTGCTTCTGAGCTTATGCGGCGGCGAGACGGCGCCGGAGACAGTTCCCGAGGCGGCGGGGAAAGGGCGGTGCGACGAGATTTACGTGGTGCGGGAAGGGGAGACGCTGCAGACGATAAGCGAAAAGTGCGGAGATCCATTCATCATGGAGGAGAACCCACATATTCATGACCCCGACGATGTTTTCCCGGGATTGGTCATCAAGATTACTCCTTTCTACAATCTCTAGTTTGTTTATTATTATCTCTCCAACACTACAAGAATTTATTTGGTCTGCAACGAAAATCTGCTACGGACACATATCCGTAGCAGATCTGCAACGAATCTGCGACGGAGTAATATTTTCTGAAAAAGGAACACTATCTGCGACGGAACTTTTGTTTTTGTCGCAGATCTGCTACGGAATAAAGTGAGGTAAACATGTCGTGTAATCTGCAACGGAATCTGCAACGGACTTATTTCCGTTGCAGATAATTAACTAAAATCGGGTTATCCTCTTTTAGATCTGTAGACGAAATCAGTTCACAGATCCAGACATCCAGACCCAGCAATCTTCCGTCCACCCAACTTCGACCGACACATCTCCTCCGCGGCTTTCCTAGACCGCCGGCCGCCGTCGCACGGTTTGTTAACGTCGTGGCGCTCGTCCTCCTTGCCTCGCCGTCGACC